AGGATAACATAATGAATTATGAAACGAAATAATAAATAAAAATAAAAATAAATAATAAACGAAATAATAAATGAAATAATTTAGTTAAATAAAGTATAAACGAACAAACGTGCCTGAGGCATCCCGTCAAAGGAAAAAAAAAGGAAAAAAAGAAAAGGAAAAAAAAAGAAAAAAAAAAAGAAAATAAAAAAAGAAAATAAAAAGGAAAAAAAAGAAAATAAAAAAAGAAAATAAAAAGGAAAAAAAAGAAAAAATATAGATATAAACGAGCAAAATGAGAAAGTGAATGTTAAGTTTAAAATGTAAACCTGTTTACAGTCAACCTTTTCCTTATAAATGAATGCATTATATATGCCTTATCTAAATGCCTTCAATAACTGCATTTCCTTTTTAAAAGCTTATGCTCACACGGAGAATGCATTTATGAAGATTGACTGTCATTGAATGATCATGGGATATAAGAATTTTTGTCAGGTAAGGGATAACAACAAAGCCTACACTCAGGAGAGTTGGGAGGAATACCCCAATAATAAAGCGTATCGTTACCAAAATTGCAAATATAGTATGAATTGTATAAATAATGATTTGTTTCATTGAACGGATCAATATAAGAAGGCGTAGATAAACTATCACTATCTGAAAAATAGTCAGCTGAGATGTCATCAGACTTAGGCGTATAAAGCTCTTTGATAATATGATTCCCTCTAGTTTGACAAGCGTCAGCCACCTGAGTATTAATCATTTGATTATCATTAACGTTTGTCATTTGGATAACATTAATCATCTGATTAGCCTCAACACCACCAGCCGCTTGTATTGCATTATCCACCTGACTAACTTTAGCCACTTCAATTTCCACATGGTCCTTGTTACCATCAGTTACTTGATTAACATCAATCAGCTGACCAGAATCAACTGTTTCATAATTTTCCTTAACTTTATCTTGTAAAAAAATAAATGGATGTATCTTTTTACGTTCTAATTTCACGTCAGCAGCCAACCTTTTATAAGCAAGTTTTACATGTTCCGATTCATTTTTCCATTTTTTACTCGCTAGTTTAGAAAATTTTTCAAGTGAATAGGATTTATTAAGTTCTTTAAGTACATTATGAAGAGCCATTTTATAAATGATGAATGCATTGGGAGTTTGACCCGGTTTATTGTCATGAGGAGAGAAATTATTGAGACTACAAAGATATTCAATGGTTATAGGAGGTGGAAGTAGAGATCCTATTTCAATATCAGGTAAAGTCACCTGAATTTCGCGTGTATTGGATTTGTTGCGTTTATTGCGAATATTTTGGGGCTTAATTTGCTTAGGCATGGTCAATATATTTGTTATAGCAATTAATTTTTTTTTTTTTTTTAAAAAAATGAACAGATACTATATATATATTTTTGAAAGAAAAGTAATTTACATTATTTGTATCACACAAATATCTTAATCGTCCGAAATTCCGTAATCATCCGTTTATATTAACAAAACTAGACGCTTTAAGTGATTATTTTACACATTGCAAACCAATACTGACAAATTTAAAGCTAATATTAACATAAGTATAGAGATAGTCAAGTTTTGATCAATGATATTTTTAATCTATATCTCAATATGTACAAAAAAAAGCAAAATTCGTTATCTTTGAATAAATAAAGTGAATTTGAAGAAACGAGATCCGGCTTTAATGAATACTGGCTATTACCATTACTATATTTGTGTAAATACTTTATACAATTAATCGCAACTTGTCATTTGCACTACGATCGTACTTCGCGCCAAAAAAAAACCAGTTATAACTAGTCATGTATAATGCCAGTTAAAAAAACTTTTTTTAGTGCTAAAAATTAGATCGATGTATTTCGATCTAATGCATGTGCAAGATTTATTATTTTTTTTTCTCCTTTAAGGACTGACAGACATAAGGAGTTACAGCACTTATTAGATACAATTGTGGGGTAAAAAAAAAAAAAATAAAAGTGAGCTTGAGAAAATTATATAAAATGCACCACTTTTCTTGGTACGCAATATTTTTCCTTTTTTCCTTTGAAAATGGAGAAATTATTTAAAAGGAAATATGTATGAAAGTTGGAAGTTAGGCTTTGTTTTATTGTGGTTTAAATATTAAACGAATTGAAATCTTTTAAATCTTTTTGGAAGCACAGAAAACTTGGCACTTCAACAGGTTAGACTTTATTACGTACGTACGTGCGTACCATTCTTACGTATACGTGTGTGCAACGTATGTTCCTTGAAATTATTCTAAAGTACTTAAGTAAAATATATATATATATATAATTAAAGTACGCGCTTAGTTTAAGGAAGCATAAATCTATTTATATCAAATAATCAAAAATTTCCTTATAAGGACATATATTTTAATATCCTTATATGGAGGGAGCAAATCATGTGTTACGTATAACATTTTATTTCATTTTTATATTAGAGTTAGAGCCATTTTAGGTTGGAATTAGATGCATTTATATAGGTAACGGTAAAGTTTCTTCACTTACATATTTGTTTAATGCTCTAAGGCAGGTTCAGACGCCATCTTTTGTATTTTCTCTTTTTTTGTTTAGTTTGTCGGGTTGATTCGGGGTTATCGAATTTTCACTATTAAACATAAGAACTCCCTTTTATGTTAATTTGTACTCGAGATTTAACCAAATAAAATTCAACAATGAATGTGGTAACTGTTTTTTCTCATGAAATAGTAAAGTCTACCATTTTTTCTTTTGCTGCGTAAAATTTAAGTTTGACAAATCACTAAATACAGTATGACTAGCGTTTAAAATATATGTTCGGAATCTGATGTGATTAAAAATTCATTCTGCAACGGAATTTGCGGATTTTATTATGTGCTATACATGTCACGCATACCTTTTTTTTTTAATATTTATTATGTTTAATAAAATTGAATTTTAAGGTTTGAGTACGTATAACTCATAAATGTGTAATAATACGTATTACCATTTTTAATTATATTAAAATGAACAAAATATAAATTACCAGTTATAGGTTTACGGATTTACTGTACCAGTGTACTACCATTAGGAAAAACGTTACCGGTAAAATGAGGTAATAAAAAAGGATAATTCCTAATGTTACACTGAGACAAAGCTTTGTTCGATTAAAACAATAAAAAGCGTTTTATAATTAGATTGATACTTTCTGCGTAGAATGAGATAATGAAACATACGTATGTTGTTATATTTCAAATCTAAATATATAATTATATTAAGATTAAAAATGAATGGACTGAGGCAGTCAATGGTAATCAAAATACAAATACCGTGTGTTATGTCTGTAATGAAATTTGACTGCGACTTTTAGTTAATTCTTGGTATGTACAGTACGTATCTACAAATTATCTATCATTAATAATTATGCTTGATTTTGATAAATAAATATTGAAAAATTTAAGTTTAATCAATCTATATTAAGGATACAAGACTTTTCTTACAATAAATAATACGCCTTAGTGCGACTAATGATACTGTAGAAGTAAATTAAGTAGAAGGACTCAATTATAGAAATTATAAGTAATTAAGTAAGTTATTAAGTTCTTGATAATCTGATTTGTATGAAATATGTATGAAATGTGAAACATGAACTCAAAATAATGTTAAACATGCGGAATGCAAAGACTTCCCTGATGCAACATTTATATCTTGAATTCTGGAATCGTAGATTTCTCCTGATATGTTACAGACGTTTTCATAAATTCCGGGACCAACCAGGGATCAATAAAGATTTAGATAATATTTTTATGATTTTCAAATTCCTGTAAAACAATATCC